ATTAAGGCTGGGATTAAAGGCGTGTGCCACCATAGTTAAAGGCATGCACTGCCCAGTGTTTATGGTAACTAGTGTGGCTACTGGAATTAAAGGCGTGTGTTACCATAATCTGGTCTGTAAGTGGAACTGCTTTACTCTCCGATCTTTAGAGCTGATGGCCCAGATGATCCAACATTTCAGAAGATTTCTGTTGGAGTTTCCTCTGAGTTATATTCAGAACAGCCTCAAGACTACTGGCTGAATGATCAAGCCTCACATAATATTCCAGTCAGGACTTGACTATAACCCTAAATTTTCTCTAGGTCCCCAAAAGATTATTAGGGCCCCAGTCAGCAGGAAGGAGCCTAGAAAACTATGCCCACGTTATCAAAAAAATAAATAAATAAATTATGGATGCTTGTCTTTGTTTAGAGTGTTGGTTACAAATTGCTAGGGATAATAGTAGTCAAAAAGCTAAAAAAGATGATTAGATTTAGAGTTCTTGTTTTGAAAAGAAGGCAAAGGGGGGAAGTAGTGTGGAATAATGGTCTTGTACACTGTAAAGGTTTGCCACTTGTATTGGTTTAATAAAACATTGATTGCCAGTAGCCAGGCAGGAAGTATAGGTGGGGCAACCAGAATAGGAGAATTATGGGAGGAGGAAAGGCTCAATCTGCAGTCATCACCCAGATGCAGAGGAAGCAAGATGAGAATGCCTCACTGATAAAAGGCACCAAGCCATGTGGATAACACAGATAAAAAATATGGGTTGATTTGTGATGTAAGAGTTAATAAGAAGCCTGAGCTAATAGGTCAAAAAATTTATAATTAATATAGACCACTGTGTGTTTCTTTGGGACCAAATGGCTGTGGGACCACGCAGACAGAAACCTCTGCCAACACTCCTGCTATTTATGGGACTGGGGATTGAACCTAGGACTTCATGCATGCTACGTGAACACTGTACTAATAGAGCTACAGTTACAGCTGCACCTCCTTCTGCTTTATTTTTAAAACACTAGAAAACTCATTCCTCCTGTGATAGCCTTGGAAGATTTTTTTTTTTGGTACATATAGCATAGCTCATGGGTTTTAATTTCCATGAATATGTATCAGCAGAGGTGTGAACCACAACCTACAGCATCAATTATAAACTTCACTTCAATTACACAGTTGGCTTTCTGTACTTGATTCTTTCATTTTTTGAAGTTGTAGTTGTTCCCTGTAACATTTGGGTCTTTTGAATTAAATATATCATATGAAGTAACTGATTTACCCTAGTTTCCAAGGAGAGGAATCTATTCAGCCATTTTACAGAACAAATCATTTTCTAAATTTTATTTCCTTTCATAATCAATAGGTTAGTGGCAAGTCATAATGCATTAATCTATAAATTTACATGGAAATTATAACAGGAAATGGTGGGCCAAGAAAAAAATCCATCCAAGATTAATGTAGTCAGACTAAACTAAAATTTAAATGTGACTATTAATTTTAATATAATTCTTAGAATTTAAATATAATGCAAATCTCATTGCTAGTTGAAACAGTCCAATTGATAAAATTGCTTTAGTATAATCTTCTCCTGTAATTTAAATTAATTAAATTTCATTTATTGTATAAAACTATAAAAAGAACATCTCTAACCTAAGACACAGTACTATTTTAAGTTAAAAAAGAAGCAATGTAATACAATTATCTCCCAAATGCAACAATGTATAATGAGCAAATCCAACTGTTTGCCTCATTGTAAATTAATGTGTTTTCTCATTCAGCCGATATTTATTGAGTGCCTTTGCCGTGAATTAGCAGAGTTTATACCCATAAGGAGGTTAAATTTTATTGAAAGAAAAAGACTGTTCTGAGAAAACAATTAGCAAGCTAATTCCAGGTTGTGGTAATTGCTTGAAGTTAGTGAACAGAAAGCTAAGATGGAGCATGAGCTAAGGCAATCTCCCTCAGTAAGCTGCTCAGGAGGAGCATCTTTCAGGACCATGGTTTTGAGTGACAGATAGGGAAAGAAGGACTCTATAAGACAGAGGCGGGCCATGGGGCAGCACATGTTGTAGGCAGAGAGAACAAAGATAAAGGCTGACAGACATCACAAGAAGACATAATAAGGGATGATAATGGGAAGGAAGAAGATGAACAAAGTACGTAGGACACAGTAAGAAAAGTCAAAACTTTGGATTCCCATGGAAGAACTACTAAAATGTTTAAAGAGGTGTGATGAAATCTACGTTATGTTTTGTGTGGCTAATGGAAGCAGGAAGAGAGATGAAAAAGTTGTGAGGTCCAGCTCCTACATTGACCTATAGATGAAGCTCTGGAGACAGGCTCGTAGCAGACAGACAATGGGTTGGTAGAGAATTGACCAAGATTCACCAATAGAACTCACTAAGTAGAGGAAAAAAAAATCAACAAAAAGCCTGTTCTGGGCATCATTTTTGTCATAAACAAAATCAACAAAACTAAAGTTAAGAAACCTAATTATAAATAACAAATTACATATTTCTGGTCTACATGGTGGGTTAATTCTCAAATTCATCTAAGTGTGTTCTCAGAGTTAAACTACATGGATTACTCATTTAGCTCCACAAAATACGATTTCAGTTGAGAAAGTTTGGTCTAGACTATTCCAGGACAACATTCCACCCCATTTTTCCATTTCTAGCAGAGCTCAGAACTCATCACAATATCATAAACCCAGGTTGGTCAAATCCAGTATTAATTTCTATTCTTAGGTTCCTTCAACAGATACTCATATTTGAAGAGCCTACTATGTGTTCAACACTCTGTTAGTTTCTATGCATAGAACTGATGTTTATACTTGAGTCCACAGCTTTATGTTCCTTCATGATATGGTGTTGAAACATTGTAAATCTTTAGAAATAGAAGCTTTGTGGCTCCTGGTGGTCATCAATGCAAATATCAGTGTGAAACAATGACCAAGAACTTAAATGTTCATGGAGCATATCAAATCCTCCCTAATATATAATCAAAGAAGACACACTTTCTAGTGACCAAGAGAATATCAGATTACTTAGGATAGAATAGTCAGACATAGATAGAAGACTGATGAGCATTGTATTTTGATGATGCTTACAAAGTACAATGTGATTTGATAAAGTAAGAAAAATGATAGATGCAAATTAAGATTGATAGATTATATTTGAGTCTTAAGGAAAAATGGAATAAAACAAATGTGAGACTCAGTATTTCTTTTTTTATTTTTTGGTCACCATTGTCAGTCACCTGAGATACAGTTAGAACCTTTGCACTTCAAGACACTGGCTTGTGGGAATTGTCTTAGAAGCACATGCAGGTGATTTGGGTTCAAGTAGTTGGTGACCCTTTGGATATTTACATTGTCCAATCTCTTCAGAAGTCAGCAGGAGATTTGTAAAAAAAAAAAAAAATGGAAGCATCACTTTTTTTTCATGGAAGCTTAGGCAAGGAATCAATCTCTAAGAATGCTAACTTTTTGTTTTATTTTGTTTTTGTTTTATTTTCCTCTTCTGCTCTTGCTTTAAGCACTAATAACAGATATTGTCGTGTCTCTTCTAGAATCACAACTACGGCTGCCTGCATGATGGACCTAAGACGATATCCATTGGATGAACAAAACTGCACATTGGAGATTGAAAGCTGTAAGTCTCTGAGCATCCGGCTGGACTAAAGTACTGGCTTGAGGTTCACCTTAGACACAGACCTACTATGCAGGCCTGTGTCTAAATCAATGGTCTTGCCAAGTTGTGAGAAGAGTATTTGAAATATGGTCCAGGCAGACACTGACAGCCTCTCTCATCCATAATGCTGTTACCTCCTTACACCTATCTCTGAATCCTGTGCAACATATTTAGGAAAAAGTGTGATTTATCAATAAAATAAAGGACACTAATAGCCTGGGAGGACATCACAGGCTGTTCAGGCATTAAAAGGATGAGATTGGTGCAAAAAGAACAAGTTTGAGAAAATAAGTGAAGGTGACAGCATGTCATGAAATATTTCAATTGTCCTTGAAACTAACCATTGCTACCCATTACAGTTATTAAGTTATTGTGGAATGTGGTCATGTGGACTGCTTGCATAATGAAGGTAGAACCATGGATTTTTGTTTGTTGGTTTTATGCTTTGAAATGGTATTTTCAAAGCCGGAAGTTTACCTTCTTTCTGGTCAGAGTCCGTAGAGTGAGCAGGACTGGTTTGTGTGTATGGGCAGGTGTGCTCCTGTGTGTATCTGTGTGTATTCATGTGTTTATTTTATTTGTGATGCCGACTTGATTTGGAATGTGGTTGCTTTTTGCACCATGGACTTCATCTGCCTTGCCAGGTGGGCTAAAATGTGAATTCTGTAATCTTTCTGTAATGCAGACATCACAAAGAGCTAGCTTGCTCAAGGAAAAAGAAGTTTTAATCTATTTTTCTCCACCAATGCTCTGGAACAATTTTTTTTTTTTACTTTATCCCAGATCATAGTTGGAAGTAGACAATTTTAATCCAGTGTTCTGTACATAAAGTGACTTGACTCTGAGGATGTTTTCTGCCTTTGAGAAAAATGTTAGCTATGGCAAGCAGCATGACTCCAAATCACTGCTCTGAGAAGTCATAGAACATTTATGAAATTCTGTGCATAGTTTTGTTTCTTTATAAAATAAAGTTTCTGGGCATAATTAAATTTACACACACTTGTAAAGAAACTAATTGCATGCTTATATTCTAACTCATCATTACCTCCAAACTTGTTCTTTGCATTAAAAAACTAGTTAATGAAATTGGCCTGTAAGATTTCAATGATTAATTTTATCTTTGGGATAGCATTGCATGTTATGTGCACTTAACTTATGGTACAATACTTCTCAAAGACCCAATTCTTAGGCAGTGTCAGAAGTTCAGTGGGAGGATTTCTTGAAAAAAGTTTGCTTCTGGGTACCACTTATTTTTTATTGTGATTATATTTTGAAGGTGAAATTTTACTGGGCTCATAAAGAACCATAATTATGCACAGATGGAAGACTTTTACTGATTAACTTCATTCAGGTCTTCTGTAGTCTTTTTAAAAACCTGGTTCCTTAAATAAGGAGTGCCAGCTACAGTGAGGCAGGAAATACTCAAGGGTTATTTTCCAACTAGAAATGGCTATTATTAAATTAACACTATACAGCATTTCAGTTTACACTCTTCATTTCTATTTCTGGTTGTCCTGTGAAATGAAGCAGCTGGTAATATTTCCGTTTTTATAACCAGGAAACAGACCTAAAGAGGCAAAAATGATATTTCTCCAGTATCAATTACCTCTAAGAGGCAGAATAATTTGGCTGATGTGATTGTAGATCATTGGTATGTCTTAGTAAAGACACTGATATTGGATGGGCCAGATTAACTTATCTCTTAATGTCCCAATCTAAAGGTAATTGATAATTACAAATTTATCTAGATAATCATCATTTTAGAAAATGAAATATGATATTGTATTGACAATATATGTGATGCAGGCCTTTGTTATATTTTGCTTAATTCTATCCCTTAATCAAGAAGTTTCTAGATGATGCCTGACATGTAGGCAATATCCACCTTATCCAATTGTTTCCTTCGGTAGCCCAGGGAAACATCAGACATTTCCTTTTGTCTCGTTTTCTTCCTCTATCCTTGTTTCTTTCTCTCTTCTTCATTGATCTTTATCTCCTCTCTTCTTTCTCTTCCAACCCCTCAAATTACAATGGTCCCAAAAGTACCATTAAATAATTATTATTTATCAACATGTTAACAATAAGTATATTGAATCACGTTCAATAAGGATGGCGTAACTTATGTCTAGGTAGCTTGGAGTAAGGAACATGAGAAATGAATTCACTGTCCATTCATTCAATAGTTATTTTCTTCATTAAACTTTCATCGGGCACTAATTACTTAGTAGGCATTATAATAAGTTTAGAGATATAATGAAAAGAATAAAATACAATGTTCTTATAAGTTAAATGATATTGGCAGGATAAATTATTTCATACATTGAGTTAAAGAAAGCATACTTAGATCAAGCCTTGAAATCCATCTTGAGAATCTAGGTGGTCAGTATGAATTACCTAGGTCATAACTACTATAAGGTCAGCATCACCTCATAATATGTCAGTAATTCTACAACTGTTGTGCTATGAGTGGCAGGGCTGTGTCCCCCGGCACCTGGCCACCCACATGGCTAGCTTATGCCCCAAAATAATTACATGGAAACTGTATTCTTTTAAACACTGCCTGGCCCATTAGTTCCAGCCTCTTATTGTCTAGCTCTTACATATTGATCTAACCCATTTCTAATAATGTGTATAGCCCATGAGGTGGCTTACCAGGGAAGATCTTAACCTGCGTCTGTGTTGGGTGGGAGAATCATGGCTTCTTTCTCCCAGCATTCTGTTCTGTCTACTACGCCTACCTAATTTTCTATCCTATTAAAGGGCTAAGGCCGTTTATTTAACTAATGAAATCAACACAAAACAGAAGACTCCCACATCATAGAACAGAGGAAGTAGTGAACAGATAAGGTCTCTATGCTAAACTGAGGTAGTAATGAGGGCTGTTTTGGAATACAGGTAATTAATATAGTTTCTCCATCGAACTAAGCAAGTAGCAGCAGCTCTTCTCCAAACTATTGTTCATTAGTATACAATACTATTATATTTTTAGAAAGTGAGGTAAACATGGTAACATTTCTGTACTGTGCTTGGACTAGTTATTCTCTAGACAACAGCTCTAATCCTGAAAATATATTTATTGATATTATCACATTACTCCTAGAACATTGGTCTCAAACACACAACACTTCAAGAGATAGAGCTAGCAATCAGAACAACTGAAGCAAAATGTAAACAATAAATAAAACAGACAACTTGCAGAAGAAGTAGAAGAAACTGGAGTTAGGGCTGTTTTGACTCATTTACCTTAAGGAGGGAAAATTCTTCTGGAAGGAGGAATGCAACTTTCAAATAATAATTGCCCTATTAACTCTTAAGGAAGTTGTCCATATCTGACGTAGAGAGAAAAAAATGGATACTCCTAAAGACGCCAGAAAGCAATTTAGGTCAGAAAAGTTAAAGCAAAGCTCTTAGCAAGTAAGCTGGGAAAAATCAAATGGGTGACTGTATTCTGCAAGACCAGTTACTGGGCATGAAGAAATTATTTTATTAGGAAAGCGATGAGATTAGAAGGTTTCTAAGTAGCTGTGGGTTGAGGGTTACTTGGCACCAGCAAAAGCTGAAAGAATGTAATTAACAGATGACAAGGCAGCACTGGTTTATGTAACGCTGCAGAGCCCATCTTCATAGAGCTCAGGAAGCAGTGCTGTTTAGGAAAAGATAAGATCATATCCCTGTTAAATTTTTTCTGGGTGTTTGAGTGTGTGTTTCTGTGTGTGTATGTGTGTGCGCGTGTGTGTGCACTTCTCTGCTTGTCTACTGTTACTCAGCTACCTTTTCTTCCTCATATTTTCCTCATTGGAATACATTTAACAGTGGGGTCTGTGCAGACTAAGACACTAATAAGAGCCTCTTTAAATGCACTCTTTTTTTTTTTACAAAAAAAAATCTAAACCTATTTGAGTCTTTTCCTCCTCATAAGGCTCAGTAGAAAAGAATTTTTTGTGACTATTTATATCTGTACTGGACAGGGAGTGGTAGAGATGTGTTAAGTAATAAAGCTACCCAGAATTTTAAATAATCCTTAAATTATTTTCAATTTAAAATATTCCTGTGCAACTTCAGAGAAGCATAGTTATAGTTATTTACCAAAGTAAGAGCCAAGAGCATCGCAAATGATCACTGACTCACCATACAATATTCAACTGGCATTGCTGTTAGGATTTGATAGTTCCTTGAATTTTATGTAGGCTTGGAGAAGGTAAGATAGTATCTTCCCACCCGCGCTATGTTTGGTATTTTGTTGTACTAGGATCTAGGCTAATGCATATCAGTCTCCAACGCCTGTAGACAAGTCTCACAGGCACATTTTTAGTACCTGGGGCAGGTGTTATTTCTGACTTAAATGTCTGGACTAGAATTCTGCTATTCGGTTCTCCCAGCATTTGAAAGCATCACCTTGGATGTGAAGGGTGTATCTTAATCTGGGCTATGAACCCTTTCACTCAATAATGCCTTTTTCCCCAGTTTAAAAAAAAAAGGAAGTCTTAATTTTCTTCACCTGTAATTATCACTGCTTTACATTTTCTCTTTCTGTAACTCCCACTGAATAAATGGTTGGTCTCCTATATCTGTCAACCTTGAATTTGAACCAAAATTCATCAATTTCTGTCTTCCACATTAGTAGCAATTAAAAAGAGCTTGTTAGTGCTGAAATTTTTCTATTGGAAGCTGTGCATTTTATTTCAATTTTTTTTCTCTAGTTTTGGTTGCTCATTTGCCACACTCACCTGTTTTCCCATGGAATGTCCTTTTATTTAACCAGTCATCTACTGCAGAAGATAAGTTATTTCTGCTTTAAATAAACATTGTTTGTAATGACAAAGTATTATTAATCTTAATAACTTAATATTATCACATATATGTGTGCGTATATTTATGAATATATTATATATAATCATGATGCCCAATATGCTATATAAAGTTATTTTTTCAAAATAATTCATTTGCTCTTATTATATGTG